GTAGGGATGAGCACGAAATACTGTAAATTAAATGCTGAATGACGGTTCATACAGGGAAAGAACATATCAATATTCGCATATTCATTCAAAAACATGAAAATTCTTAATGGAGTACCTTCATTTTTTATTGAATTCCTAAAAACCAATATTTATAATGAATTTTAATAATTTTTTCGAATTTTTTTTAAGTTTTATTCTGACCGATTCACCCGATTTCTGATCCGAATCGTTGATTCGCAGATCCGGATAGATTTTTTGAAAACCCGATCGGGGTCACCGATCCGTTTTTTAAACCATTGCTTTAAAGTTTTCAGCAATCAATCCCAACAAAATCGTGCCAACTTACTTTAAGTATTTTACTTTGTCTAGCCTTTAAATCGACCCACCTCCTCCACTCCGCCAGAAACTGATACAGGCACCGAGCCATGGCGGAGGCCGCGACTCGAGCCCATGTCGCCCTCCTGGCCTTCCCCTTTGGAACGCACGCCGCACCCTTGCTCGCCCTCGCCCTCAACCTCGCCACCACCTCGCCTTCAACCTCTCTCTTCACCTTCTTCTCCACCCCACAGTCTCTCTCTAAACTATCCTCCTCCATTACCATCTGCTCTTCAAAAGCCACAAATCTGAGATTCCTCCCCCTGCCGGAAAACGAAAACTACTCGCCGGAAAACCTCACCCCCATGGCTGCCATAGAGGCATTTCTCAGGGGGGCACCATCTGCGGTCCGCGAGGCTTTGGGGCAATCTGAGCCGCCGGTTAGTTGCGTTATCGGTGATTCGTTCCTCGTGTTTGCGGAAGAGGTGGCGAGGGAGATAGGGGCAAAATGGGTATCTTTTTGGACGGCTGGGCCTTGTAGCTTGGCGGCTCATTTTTACACGAAGAAGATCAGGGAGGAGGTTAAGCTTGGTGATAATGGTCAGTAAACCTGCCTCTGATTGTCATTTTAACCGTTGATTTTCTTTAACCTATTTTTTCCTAATATTTATCAAATGTTAATAATAGGGCAGGGCCAGCCGAGCCGAGCCGTGGCCTGGCGGGAAGCTGGGCCAGGTATAATTTTTTTATTAAAAAAAAAAAAGAAAAAGAAGAGAAATAAAAAAAGGTTGGGCTGTAATTGGCCTGCACACGGGTAGGTCTAATGAAGGAACAGGAACGATTCTGGTCGAAATTTGACGGTCCAAATTTGGTCTGGCCTGCACACGGCTCTAATTGGGTTGCACACGTGGCTCGTAATCCATCCAAGAGAATTGGTCTTTCTAGAGAGCGTATAGTGAGAGTGAGAAGGGGACGGCTGGCAGACCAAATTCAGATCAGTGGGTATTGAATACAATGTTTTTATCTTTCATTCTGTTGGCACGTACACCCACACCCACACCCAATTCATATCGATGGGGCTTACATGCCTCTATCTGTTCTAGAAATAGTTAGTGGTTTTCAAATGGGGCGAACGGAAATTGAGACTCTTTAGAAATAGTTAGTGATTTTCAAATGCGTTATTAAGTGCGAATGGATATTAAGTGAGAACGGAAATTAAGATTGGTTATAAAGAAATGAAAATTTAATCCGGTAGGTGAGGTTTAGGAGGTGCTACCACCACATTCTCGACCCATTCCCGTTCAATCTTAGCTTTTAGATATTGATAATAGGATATAAAATATAAATAAATAAACTTTAGAAAAGTAGAAATTATTTTTTTTTTACACCATTAATTTTTTTGGTTGGATCCCCCTTTTCTACGGCCTATCTCAAAGATGAGATTTTGATGCTTAGGAGGTCACATGCGGTCCCTAACTGACTAAACACTTTTCCAACTATACTCTCTTTGTTTCATTGATTCTCCTATAGAGGCAGCACTTCTTTTATATTTTGCGTCAATAAAAATAGGTGCACCCTCAGCCGTTGTGGGGAATGACCGAAGGCCAGTTTATGTTGAAGTTGAATACATAGGAAACTATTGTTGAGGGGTCACATCCTCTGCTAAGTGGACTAAAAGATCTCAATGAACCATCAAGGGCTCTTAGGTGAATTTATCATTTGATTATGATAGCTCTTACAAATAAATAAATATATATATATATATATGAACTATCTAAGTTGCTTATGACCAATGATGAAAAATTATGAACTAAGTATGGGTATTTTAATAATTTAACTCATCTTAAAAAGGCCGAGAATGGGTCGGATCGGGTCCAAATCCATTAAGAACTGGATTCGGATCCAACAAGTATATATGGGATCTGGATTCAAATTCGAAAAGTATATATGAGATTCATATTCAGATCTGGACCTGATTGGATCCAAAAAATTATTTTATTGCTATAAAATAATCATATAACAAAAAATATTATATAACATATATATATATATATAATATTTTAATATGAATCAGATCCACTTGCACCCAAATCCGATCCGAGACTATTTGGATCCAAATTTGGGACCCGGGTCCAACCCTATAGATCCAAATGAGGTCCAAAATTTGGGTTTTGGGTCCAAACCGGGTAAATTCTTAACCCTACGCCCTAACAAGCAAGAATACTCATACCAAGTGGAATGAAAATTGAAAATTAAACCATCCAATATTAATTAATTTGTTTTAACCCTATTGGTGTTTTTTATTTTTTAAAGGATTTGACCTCTTAAATAATACTTCCTTAAAATAAATTAAAAAAAATTATAGATACCCTCAATTTCAACTTTCTACATATTCTACATCTCAATATTTTTTATATTACACCCTAAACTCTAACACTATTTTTCTTTATATTTACCTCCAATTAAATAGTAAAAACATTTTGAGACCAAAATGCTATTTTTCCCACTTTAATCCCTCTTTTCAACTTACTTTTTTATATTTCTTTCTCTCAAACTCTCTCTATTTACCCTAAAAAAAACTCACACCCGTCCTCTCTCTTTCTCTCTCTATCTCTCTTTACCCTACTTTACTTTTTCTCTCTAGCATCCGTCATTCTTTTTATCTTTACCCTCCCTCACCATTCCTCTTTATCTTTCTCTCTACCCTCCCTCACTTTCTCTCTCTATCGTCGCTTACTTTTTCGCTCTCACTTTCTCACTATGTACCTTACTCATTATTTTTTTTTCTACCACTCACATGCCTATAATCCGCTCTAGCGCAAGCTGTATTGGACCGAATTTTTTTTGCAGTCGGGCACAAAAATGTGTCGGATAATTTTGAGGGTACGCATAATTTTGCGAATAAATTAGTGGGATCCCAACACAACATTGGCTTGATATGTTACTTTGTTTTAATTTGGTCTCTACAAATGCTTCTGAGTGACGGAGCAGAGAGAAAGACATGCTCGGCTAAAATTGCCCCCTTCTCTCTCTTCTCTCTCTCTCTTTGTATAGGCATCAAAGACGAGAATGTAGCAGGCATACCTGCCCTCTCCTTCATCAAGCTCAAAGAGTTACCAGAAGGAGTTATTAGAGGCGACCTTTCGAGCCCTTTCCCATTGATGCTACTAAAAATGGGGGAGCAATTGCCCCAAGCAACAGCTGTGATCCTCAACTGCTTCGAAGACCTCGACCCCTCCACCCTCTCTGACCTTAGAGCAAACATGGCCCCATGCTTCACAATTGGACCATTGCCACCAATACCCAGCCCAAACGCCAACCCTGGTGCTCGTGATGAGTGCCTCGCATGGCTAGACGACCAGTCCAAGGCTTCGGTTTTGTACGTGAGCTTTGGCACAGTGAAGGCTCTAGAGGCGCCTGAGGTCGTTGCACTTGCAGAGGGACTAGAGAATAGTGCTCGTCCATTTTTGTGGTCGATGCGCTTAGAGCAACATGAATTGCTTCCTGATGGGTTTGATGCTCGTGTAGGCCAACGCGGTCGAGTGGTGGCATGGGCTCCGCAAGCCCAGGTGCTAGGGCATGACGCTGTAGGAGCGTTCCTTACGCATTGTGGATGGAACTCTGTGCTAGAGAGCATCATCGGAGGAGTACCGATGATATGTCATCCATTCTTCGGGGACCAGAGGATCAATGCCAGGACAGTGACCGATCTATGGAGGATCGGGGTCACTATAGAGGGTGGGGTCCTAACTCGTGAAGGAGTGGAGGGCGCGGTGCACCGCCTCATGGCCATAGAGGAGGGCCAAGTACTGAGGGGGAATGTACGTACGCTGATGGACCTTGCAACTCAAGCTACGAGCAATGAGGGGAGCTCCACTGCAAATTTAAAAGCTCTAGTAGAGTTAGTCGTTAGTCTGTAAGTGTGAGACTGTGTTAAGACATGGACATTGAATAAATATTTGTTTAAGAAATGTCAATTTCAAATTTAGCTTTCTAGAAATTATGCATGTGCACCTTATATCAAGAAGGGAGTGGTGGAATTTTTTAAGACACTATACACGTTTGCATTAACTACCGAAAAAAAATATGTGCTTTTCCATTGACATTTCAACTATAGAGGATAGATAAAAGTGTCTAAGTGTTAAACATGATTGTTGTAATCTTCTTTGTACTATGAGTGCATAATTATATCAGTGCTAGGTTTCATTTTTTCTTAGTGACATTAGAGTTTGGAAAATCATCGACATGTATTTGATTTAGGGTATTACTGGGCTGATTCTTTAGCGGAAGCACATGAAACAAGTTTGAAGAAATAGTTACCTTTTATGATTTAAATGCTAGGAATTTTAATCCATCACTCGAAAAGAATATTCCAATTCTTTTGTTTTAGAACACTAATTTGTCACCTTTTACTTTTGTGGATCTCCTTCGTATATTTGTCATAAATGGAGTTGTTTTTGTTGTATTTCTGGTTCGTTACTTTCCCTCGTAGGTTTGAAGATATTTGTAAGGTGGACTATGTGATAAAACACAATGTATATAGATTTAAATTTTTCTTTGCTTTCACAGATAAGATCACTTACAATGTCCAATTACAAATAAAATCATTCTTGAAATAAATAAATAAAAAAGAATAGTTTTCACTTGTTACCATTAAATACAACTTCTTTATTCAATAACAAAAAACTTGAAGCATCGCTTTATAAGAAATAAAATAAAGCAAGTAAAGTTGCTAGAGATTACCTCAATCGGGTATATTACACCCCACACCAAGTCTCCTCCTTCCAATAGTACTCTGGATCAAAGATCAATTTTGATTCTCCTAAGTATGGCAAAACCCTTCAATAGCATACGGATCTTATCTAAAACCAAAGTGATAAGGCATCAATGCCTTGGTCTACTTTAAACCCCCTTGGTTTAATCTTAAAGAGATGAGAGAGATATAAATCCTCTAGGTGGGGCATGCCCCTTCTTCTACTTTTCTATGAGAGAGAATGAGAGAGAGAGAGAGAAAGAACTTCCTAGCTTGGGACGTGCCCCGTTAGTAACCTTCTAAGAGAGAGAGAAGTGTAGGTGGGGCGCTGCCCCTAGAGAGAGCTTAAAGAGAGAGAAGAGAAAAGAGGAGAGATATAGATAATTATGGGAAAGAGACCCTATTCAAAGATTTTCTTTGTTTTAGGGTTTGTCATCTTTAGTGAGATCAAATCTAAGATTATTTCGTCTATTCAAAATCCTTTGTTCTTTTCATTTTCATACATTTTGATGCTGAGATGATCAACTAGAGGGTTTTCCAACACGCAAACAACTTTTTATGATGGATTTTTTAGCTGCATCTTTATTTCTACATTTTAAGGTTTCAAACCTTATATAAACTTTTTCCTTCAAATAAAGGAAATATATTCATGCCTTTCTCATTTAATTGATATTCGTTCCTTATTCATTATCTTTAATCAATTAAAATATCTTGATTCACAAGACATACTAAATTCATTATATTGATTCTTAATGCATGAAGGATTTGTATGAATTTAGAAAGCCATCTAGCATAGAGTCTTCTCACAAAGTTTAGTAAGCAATCTGTTGTGGGTGGGGCGTGACATCCTAGGTGGCCCCCTCATGGGCTCCACCCAATTCTATCATGTGATTAAATGGACCCCATACCACATGGAAGGGGGGGTCCCACATATGTTTAGTAAATATTTAATTTGATTTTTAGAATTTAAAAATAGAATTAATTTCTCTTAGTTTATTTAAAACATTAGAAATTGATTTTTTCTTTTATTATAAATTCAAATGATAAAAATAAAATATCAAAAGAATCACAAAAATTTAAATAATCATTCTAAAAATTATATAATATAAAATTAATTTAAATTAATTAATTTTAGTGGGAATCGGATCCAAATAGGTCTATGGATTATGAATATATTGGAGCACTCCACCTACAACTGTAGACCACGATCCACACTAGCTTTTTCAAACTGACCCAGCAATTTTCATGAACCACAATCCACTACAAGGGTTCATAATTGGGCAACTAAAGTCAGTCGATAGGCTAGGGATGTAATCACAGTCTATGGATTATAGGTTCTCCCCTAGAGACAAATTCATGGTCCCTTGAACCATGATGCAACCACGACTTCAGGGTACATGGGGGTACTCTCTCCCATATGTACATGCTTCACCCTCAATAGTGGATTGATATCTCGATACGGCTATCTATACACATGTCATGTGATGGTACATGGCTGACGCTTTGGCCCGGTATCAAAAGGCCAACGATCACACATAAGGGCCAGATAGTCCATTGCTCGCCCATCCAGGCAACTCCAACCTCATTGAGGGATGACCCAGTGGACCCTCATCAATTTAACTTTATGCCCAGGTACCCTAGGTTTTCCAACTCGGCTGGCCTAACACGTCGAGCCAAGTCTGAGTATTGGCAAGTAACATTTACCTAATATGGTCCACAAGAGGACCACAATCCCATTGAGTTTATGTATCACTATATAAAATGTTTTATACAAGCTCTTGTAAGGCCTTTAATGACCACATAAACCCAACGGTATCTTCCTCGTGTTTATTGCATACTTTAATTTATTTTTATTTTAATTTCCTCATGTTGTGTGTTCCATTATTTCGTGTTGGATAGAATAGGGATTAATTGTCAGTTTGTTTTCACCGCAGGATTATGGGATTAAGGGATGGGAGGGTATCATTTAGTCAAAGAAAGAAGGAACAAGATTTTGGTGTCAATTTTGTGTAAAAACTTGGAAACATGACATGTGTAATGCTTTAAAAGAGGATGCGGTTTGTGTAATGTTGCAATCTTGCTTGTAGAAGTAAGGTTATATTCAACATCGTCTGTAGATTTGATACGTTTTTTAAAATAATGTCATAAAGTGGTACCTTTTTCAAAATAACATCAAGTCTACACCATCCAAATAAAATAAACAGTATAGATTGCTACAACATTACTTCTATATATAAGATTACACCTTTGTATAAACTTTTTCTTCTAAAAAATTGATGAATTCTTAACATATCTCTCACTACATAAAGCACGAGTTTTTTTTTTTCCATGTTATAGCATTGTCCACATAAATAAAAGCGTGACAAATGTTATTCAAAAAATAAACAAAACGGTTCACTTTCATATATTCGAGGCGTAAAAAAAAGCGTCATTTCAGGCCGAATTTTAATGCAACGAATTTATAAATTACGGTTTTGTGAAATCTGCACAATGCACGCCTCAAATGGTTTGTTTTGAAAAATGTGTTGCATTTGGGGTTATTGAATCCTCGATTCATTGTTTGTCATTCATTATGTTGTCTGTTTTTGTTTAAAAAATTTAAGTCCAAATTCAATTCACTGTTTGTCGTTGGTTATGTTGTCTGTTTTTTGTTTAAAAAATTTAAGCCCAAACTCGTTTTGGTTAGTCTATTCTTGCATTCTGTTTGTTTTGAATGTACACCTAATAATAAGTGCAAGTTTTTGAGATATGATTACTTAAATCATGTTGTTGATTTTTGTTTTTTCTTTTGTTGTTAAATATGGGCTGCAAATGAAGTTGGAAAGGAAATGTTGGGATTGTATTGTAAACTTTAGAATAAGTGTTGGGAAGGATACTCTCTCTCTAACTGCGACCAAAGATCCTCTCTCTAATGTTTTGTAGATGGGGATATTAATTTTGCAATTTTAATGTCCAAAAAAATATTTTTTTTTCTAATTTTTAGATATGGAAATTTAGAAATTAAAAATTATTAATCGTGATGTATTTCATTATTCAAAATTTGAAATTAAGTAGTAATATAGTATTGACATATATTACACAATAACACATAGTTAATTAATTGAGTATTATAATTAAATGTGTTAGTTGCTTTAATTTGGAGTTAATTATATTAAGCACACATATTTCAAAATAATTAAAAATTAGATTAAAGTCTCTTTAATTTCAAAAATTTTAAGTTTACAAATTAATACTTCAAATTGACTTTTTTGAAATCTGAAAATGTTCAGGGATCTTAAAATGCAATTTTTGGATTTTGAAAATTCAAAATTTATTTCCAAATTGTTGAGACACTAAATAGAATTTTTATTTTTTAAATCATAAATTTCAATTGAAAATTGTTGGGACGCCTTCATTTTTGTTAAATATAATTGTTGGGGCTTTATTGAATTTGCATTTTTGGATTTTTAAAATCCAAAAAAATATAATTTTCAATTAAATTTCGGATTTTCAAAATTTGAAATTGTTGAGACATTTTTTAAGTAAATAAAACGGTTGGGCGCTCATTTTTTGGTTTTTTAAATCTTGAAATTTAATTTTCAGATAAATTTTAGAATTTTGAAATCAGGGGACGCTAAAAGGCATTAACATTAAGAAAAGAAGGATGTTCACAAATAAATAATTACAAATCATGTTTTTTTGCTCATAATTCATTTTTTTTCTTTGAATTTAAGGGCTTCACTTTTGTTTTTTTCATATCTACATCTACTAATGTTAAACATTGTGATTGTCGAATCATTTCAATTACCTTCACATATTACATATTTCTATTTAAATTAACATGCTTAGATGGGGTACTTTTAAATTGATAATAGATTTAGAATATGACATTTGGTTTTTCGAAATTTTAAGTATTAATGTATCACACAAATTTAAAATATTATAATAATAACTAATATGGTATAAAATAAAAAAATACTTCAAATTAATATGCCTCTTTAGTTTCTTCCAATTTCTAATATATTTTATCTTCCATAATAATCTTGAAGCGGTAAACAAACTTATCTTCAACTTTTAGTTTTTTAAAATCTTAGCGTTACAAATTAGAGTATCTTCCAATACCCTGATATATCAATTTTTAGTTTTTGAAGTTTAGCATCACAAATTAGGTGGAAGTTATTTAGAAAAATACTTGAAAGGCTAATGTATATAGAGAAAAGGGAAAACAAGTTTTTGAATGTTTCCATCATAAATTAAGTGGAAATTATCTAGATAAATGTTTGAAAGGCCTGTAGATATAGAAAAAAATGGAGAAAAAAAA